TTTGTCTATTGATAGACATTTGGGTTGCCTTTTTAGAAGGCATTTTTGGGGCAGGGCAAGGTGAACATCATTCACCTTTGCAAGTGGGGGTATTGACAGGAATGTAGGATTTGATTGCCCAGAGGTTTGCTGTCAGGATTGGGACTACTGACCATAGTTCTTCTTGTTCCAGTTTTGCAGAGTTCTCCATTTTCTGGAAATGGGAGAGGGCACCTCGCATCCATCTGGGATATTCTCGTTAGCCTCTGGCACAGTCTGAGGCCATAGTGACAGACTGGAAGGCTGGGGATAGCCAGAGGCTCTCCAAGCGCCCCATCAAGAGTCCCCTTAGGGACTCCATTGGAAATGCTCTAAGCCAGTTTCTAGTTCTCAGGACTGGGCTGCAGGAGATGAGCATGGGAGGGTTTGGGGCTGTGGAGCTGCTGGCCTTGGCCACTCCTGGAGCAGGGGCCCAGTGAACACCTTCGTAACAGAGTTTTCTTAGTTGATAGCAGACTTAATAGATTGTAGCCATAATTGCTCCTTCACAAACCGAGCCTTTTCAGGGCTTCCTTTGTAAAAGTCTGCTTTTCTTGATCTGTGAGGTAGACTGCTCGTTGAGGGGGGGAGGCATAAAGAATCATTTTCACTGGTATTGTAATCCAGAAATTCAAATAAGGGCCATACAAGAAAAATACAGTGGGTTCACTGACATTTACATCATACTCCCCAAAGCAGGTATGGCTGCCTTAGAAGAGAAGGATGAAAGGTGAGTTCTTAATTGATTTAAAGAAAAAGGGGCAACTCTGAATCTGGCTGCTTCTGTGGTCATTCTGGGCCATGCAGCTCCAGAGCCCAAGTCCTCTGGACTTTGACCTTTTAGAAGAGAAAATAAGCATCACTGGGCTTAAGGAAGGGCCACACATTCGGCTGCAGCTGCTTTCTTCTCATGTTAACAAGAACTCAGTCTGTTTAGCATCTCTGTGTGTGTGTGTTTAAGATTTATTTATTTGAGAGGGAGAGAGAGAGAGAACACAAGCAGGAGGGGCAGAGGAAGAGGGAAAGAGAATCTCAGGCAGACTTGACGCTGAGCACAGAGCCTGACCCGGGACTGGATCCCAAGACCCTGAGATCACGACCTGAGCCGAAATGAAGAGTCAGACGCTTAACCAACTGCACCAGACAGGAGCCCCTACATGTGTGTTTCTATAGGAAATTTCATTAGGCATGTCTGTTTTTAACTTCCTGATACTGATAGTAGGTATTTTTAATTAACTTTGTGTGGAATATAGATGAGGAATCCATTCATTCAGCAGATACTTATTGAGTATGGTTTTTGTTCCAGTCTCTTACTAGGCCTTGAAGGTATATACCGATGTCAGTGAATGAACAAACCTGCCTCCATAGAGCTTCCATTTAGCGGGCGGGACAGACAAAGGAAAAGACTGTGAAAATCATATAATTGACTAGAAAGTGAGAGGTTCCTGACAAATATAATGTAGGATGGGGAGAACTGTAAGAATCGAAAATAAAAGTGTCACTATGAACAAAAACTACACTTTCTGTTTTGTTTTGTTTGACTAAAACAGCATTTGGATGTGCAGATAATCCTTAGCGAGCTGCTAGTTTTTGGTGACAGACATGGAGCAGTCCAGAGACTGTGCCGCTCTCATACTTAGACATACTGGACATTGGTAGATGCAGGAAATGGATTTCCTGCCCTTTTCGTTGTAGAAACTAAGGCACTGGGATTCCCGTCTATAAAACGGGACTGACGTGTGTCCCACCTGCCTCACCCTGAGGCTGCAGGTCGACATCACATCCATCCGAGTAGATCCAGCAGGTGAAGCTTTGATGAGCTGGAGCATCGTTCTTGTTCCTAGTTCAGGAACAAGAACTTTAAAGTTGTCCCTTTTCGGCTTCACAGCCCGACAGTGTTCGCATTTGTGTACCTTCTGCGTTTGTGACATCGGGACCATGTTAAATCTTGGAGAACACCATCCAAATACGCATCCGTGGCATTGACTTTAGGCTCCTTGAGGTTCAGAGACCATGCTTCTTTGAACTAATACTGTGTCTCATCGGTTCTCAGATTTTTTTTTTTTTTAAACCTCACTGGGAGGGGTCAGCAGATGGGTGACTGGCACCTGCCTGTCACTGACTAGGACACCACAGGTTGGAAGATGCACCCGATGCGGGGAGGTTAGCAAGCGAAAGCCAATTATTAAATTATTTAAATAGAGAATATGCAGTTTTTACTTCATAAGTGATTTTTGATGAAGTTTTAAAACTATTCTATTGAGTTTTCTGAAGCTCTGTTCTGGGAAAAGGAAAAAGATAAAGTGGATTTTTTTTTTCCCTCTTAAAGGTCAAATTTGGGTTTACGGAAGCTTTTCTTTAGGACATAAGTGAGAGCCTCTTTGGTGGATGAGCTTGCTGGCAGCCCTCAGGGGACTCTCCATTAGCGCTACCAGCTTGGGGAAAATCTCTAGTTAAAAGGTGGAGCAGCACAGCAGGCAGGCCGTCAGGACATATGCACACTTCTTTGTGAGCAGACGGCTGCGCGCAGTGTGCACACCTGCTGATTGCCCACGTGAGCATCCTTGATAGGCAGGCTTTGGATTCTTCTTTTCGCACCCATGGTGGAGCATGCCTTGCTTGCTTGGTGAGATATGATGACCCCAGAGGGAGGAGAGAAGAGCATGGGTCATTGTCATTTAGTCTCCCTACTGAATCAAATGTTACGTTGCATTTAAAAAATTCAGAATGGTGGTCAAGGAAAATGTTAGGTGCTATTCTTTTTACCAAAAGTGGGGTAAATGTTTTAACCCAAATCTCATACTGTATTTTTAAGAACTCAAATTTCTGTAAAATATGTTGTTCCACAATATTTTTTAAAAGATTTTATTTATTTGAGAGAGAGAGAGCGCGCAGATAGGGGGAGTGGCAGAGAGAGAAGCAGACTCCTCGCTGAGCAGGAGCCCGATGCAGGGCTCTTCCCAGGACCCTGGGATCATGACCGTGACCTCAGACTCCTAACGACTGAGCCACCCAGGCACCCTGATCCACAATATTTTTGATCAAGGAGACTGATTCTCTTTTTGGAAAGTATCAAAGATGTTGGGAGAGTTAAAAAAAATACTGAATTGTTGCCTGTCTTATCTTGGGGATAAGAAGTATTCCCCCAAAACTAGGGCCATTGATTTTACCCTAAAAATACTATCCAAGAAGATTACTTGGTGATGACATTCTGGCATTTATAACAGAACTGCTGCTTACTTTTAATAGTAACTTCCATTCACTAAAAAGCTTAGGAACCATCATTCAGTTGTCCTTCTGACATTTTTACTATAATTTAGAGAGATTTTCAAACTAGCCACTAGTTTGAAAATTTTTCTAAGTTTTTTTCAGGGCAAAGGACCCAGCTGTGACCATGTGACATAGTCCCCTTGTCTTTTTTTTTTTTTGTAATTTCCTTTATTTATTTTAAGTAATCTCTACACCCAACATGGGACGTGAACTCATAGCCCTGAGATCAAGAGTTGCACGCTCTTCTGACTAGGCAGCCAGATCCTCCCCTGCCCCGTCTTTATTTAAGCTCTTTGAGCTTTAGTATCTTTAATTATAAAGCTGGAAGGATAAAACCTCTTAACAGGGTCATTGTGATGTTGAAATCAGAGCATGTGTAAAGGACTTGATACCATACCTAGCATGTATCAGTGGCTATGGTTTCGTGTTGTTCCCATTTAATACATGAATTACTGGATTTATAAATAATTTAATACTTTTCTAGGTTACATGACCTAACAGTACATGTGGATCATTTTAGTGTTCAGAATCAAAATTGAGTTTCATTATTGTTCAGAGGGACTATTAATCATTTTAGGAAATTGTAAAAATCCATATTGGTGAAATATGTTTTTAAAATACCAGTATCTTGTGCTGAATCCTTTTTTGGCTTTTCTAAAAGGAAAGAATCTGGTTTTCTGTTAATGTTTGCTTGCTTTTTAGTTTTACCTCTGCTAATGAAGTAAATAAGATGAGAAAATAATGAAGAGTTTCATGTTGTGACTTGAATTTTGTGGTCTTACTGCTCTACTTCTGAAGACAGATGACCAGAGCTGTGAAACTAAGGAAGGATCTGCTTGGGAAGGCTAGATTTTCCTTCTCTGTTTTATTTTCTGAAAACATTGGTGGAGTAATAAAATATTTCTGGAAATTTCACCGAAAATATTCAGTGATACCAACAGACCTCATTAGGATTTTATGTATGTTCATGAGGGCTACATCTGCCTCTCTATGACAAGACAGTCCCTGAGATTTGTACTTAGTATGTGATGTAATTTTTCTAAACTCAAGGTAATTTAGTTCTGTTTAAAAATTCTTAAATGCCAGTCTCTTTATTTGTATGTGCAGCTTTGTGTGAGAGATGGGTGAGGCTTGACCGCTGGGGTTAGGTGGTGCCCTCAAGAGAGGAAGATGCCCTAGATCCCAGATGATAGAAAGTCATCATCAGCATAAAATTTGAGGTCCATTCCTGTCTCTTTCCTTCAAGACTTAAAACCCGATTTGGTTGATAGCAAAGAGAGAGCTTAGAATGCCGAGGTGGGAAGGAGGGGGCAGTGTGGGGGACGACAGAAGGGCCTGGTAAGGCGTGAGGAGGCCGTGTTCAAGGGGAACGATGCCTGTATACATGGAAACGTTCTCCACACGTAAAACTGAAGTCGGAGGAGACACATAGGAAGATAAAGATGAGGCCTTCTCTAATGGCTTCCACGTGGCAGGCAGCACTCAGACTTGTTCTCCGGAGTCCCGGGAGGGGATGAAGTAGCCCAGCCACAGCCACATGTCCTCCCAAACTCTGACTCTTGCCAATAGCATGCTTGTTCCTGGCCATGCGGCTGTAGGAGGTAAAGCGTTGAGCGCGAGCGGTTGGGTGACGACGTTGGACCTCCAGGGGCATGCAGAGTCCTGTCCTCTCTTGCTTTTGTCTAAGTGTGCTCCAAATGCTTGTTTTTCAGGTGGCAGAGATAAACGTGGAGGTCCCATTCTAACATTTCCGGCCCGCAGCAATCACGATAGAATACGACAGGAGGACCTCAGGAGACTCATTTCCTATCTAGCCTGTATCCCTAGGTGAGTTCTGTGCGGTTTGTGGTTTGTCACTGTTGCGACCGTTCCAAGAAATGCGGCACTGTGCTCTCCAGAAGCAGCTGCACAGTGGCTTGAATTTCAGGCAGACCAGACAGTGCAGAATGAAAATCGTCACCTGTCTTTAGTTCCATTTTGTGACCGTTCTGTCATGTTTACAACACTTCTGGGTGTGGGGACCAGAAGGTACGCGTCTTGCCTGGAGCGCTTTGTGGGGGGATGGTGGCGCTGGGGTTAGGATGCGGTGCCTCAGGTGGACCATCCTTGGTGAATCTGATACCAAGACACAGCGCCCTGCAAGACCAGAAATGGAATGCTGTTTCTCACTATACATTTCTGTCTTCATGCTGAGCTTCGGTTTCTGAAAAGCATTCTCTTGATTTGTGGCATGAGGTTTGTGAGGCATTAAGAATCTTTACTAGCTAATATGCCAAGTTTGGGAACACGCATTCAATCCGAGACCCCCTTCATGATAGGGTGGTCGTTCGTGTGGATGCTGAAGAACACCAAGACTAGACAAAGCTTTATTTTCCAGATTACTTTTTGGAAAAGAGAAAACTGCTGTGATATGACCCAAGGTTTTAGTCATGCCTGTGCTAAGAAACTGTGTGTCTGGGTTGGAGGGCTGCTTCCCTGTGCGGAAAACGAAAGGCACATACTAAAGGGGGCATAATTGATGTGCTAGAGCCAGAAGGCGTTTCCTCAGAGACGAAACTAGGACGTGTGGAAGAAAACTCGGTCATTATACATAGGCTAGAGTAGACAGTAATGTTCACGAACGCTTATGCAAGAGAGTAATAAAAGGTGGCAGTGGCTTTGTTGAGGTTGAGGGGAGTGGTCCATCTGCCATGGCACTCGGGTTGGGACACTGCTGACGTTCTTTGGTTGACACCGAGCAGGGAAGACAGCAGGGCCCGGTTGTGACCCATCCTTGCTGTGGCTGAGGCAAGTCCGCTTTCGCTGTTGACCGCCTGACCTGCTGACGAAGTTGTTGGGTTTTCCGCTGTGGTCATCCTTTATGAGAGAACCACCACTTTGCATCATCAGTGACAACGCGATAGAGCCCTGCATTCGTATGTGGAAAAGTTGACTCTCTCCTCTTACTCTGGTATTTTCTCGGGCAGGCAGTTGAACTGTTGAAACTATGGAATTAGAAAGGGCTTTAGAAGTTCTGTGCTACTCACTATCATTTATAAATAACAGTATAGTTGATAAGGACCACTTACGGAGTTCTGACTGTGTGCTAGGTACTGTGCTAATGACAGAAGAAGAAACAGGAATACAAAGGACAATGTAAACATCTCTGCCAATCGGAGTGATACTTGTCGTATAGTGTCATTATGGAATGACTATATATAATTTTGGCAACTGGCTTTCTGGTTTAAAAATCCGTGTTGATTGTAACTTAAAAATTTCTTTTATATCATTGATACTGTAAAAAGAATTGATTCAGGTATATTTTGGATCATCTGGATGACCCACTTAAGCCCGCAGAACTTCATTATGGTGAGCATACACAAAAGTAGTGAAACTAGCACAGCAAACATCCATATACCTGTCATCTGGCTTCAGTGATGACCAGATTTTGCCAATCTTGTTTTTCTCTGAATTTCGCCCCGGAATAAAAAATCGCAAGCCTCCTGTCGTTTCTCTTATAAATACTAAGCATGTAGGGTGACCCCTCCCCGGTCAAGCGCAGCCACTTCATCACCTAGATTTGCTTTTGTATCTGTAATTCCAGGTGATAAGAAATGTCACTTTGCTTGTCCTGGGTTAATGACAAGAGAAGTGGGATTAACACGTAAATGATACGTTTCTCAAGGGATCAATGGGGAAATTTCACTGTGGTCCAAATGGAGAGAAGTGGCAACAGAACCCATGGGTCTACCCTGGCCACGCAGGAGCTGCTCCGTCCCACTGTGTGCTTCGTGGCGGGAACATTGGTTTGTTAGAGCCGAGCAGTAGGGCCAAGAAAATTGTCAGCAAAATAATGGTGTGTGAATTTTTTTTTGACTTGTGGCTTTGCTTGCACTTAAGTCTGATTATTTGTTGCCATAGTTCCAGAGTGGTATAAGTCATCCTGGGGGTCATGAGACTTCTTTTCCTGCCCATTACTCCTGGCAGTTTCTGTGCGGTGAAGGTGGCCTTTCGCTGCCCGCCCCCCCACCACTCGCTGGACAGTCACAGGGCCCCACGTTGCCAGATGGGGAGAAGCGCGCCATCCAGAAAACATGGGCAGCAGACTCAGAGCAGCTGTTCCTTTTATCAGTTTTCTGATCTACGAAATGTGATAGTAATATGTACTTCTTGGGATCATTGTGAGTGTGGAGTAAGATCACTTACGTACGTGCCTAGTGCAGTGCCTGACGCCCAGTAGCTCCCTCAGAAAAAGTACAATAATTTCCATCTTTCCTACTTACCCTCTTTTATTTTTCCCTCTGACATGTGCTCAGAGCCCGGATATCTTGTTTTTCTTCTGCATGGCCTCTATCTGTCTGTGTGCCTCTTAAAATGTGGCCCTCGGAGGTAATCATAAGTGTGATCTGAGCAGTAGTGAGTAGTTTGAGTATTATTACTTGGGTCACCTTCCCTTTCATTCCTCCCTCCTTTAAAAAAAAAAATAAAAGCAATTGGAGTAATTATGAGTGACTTTCATAGAATTAATTTGCAAGGAAACTTTCCATTAACTATGTGTAAGAGAAGCAAGTCACAGTAGAACTTCTTGCTGGTCTAATTGGGATTCCCACACAGTGATGAAAATAACATCAGTCTTGGTACATCTCTAGGTGTTTATTGCTCTTATTGTTTGAATTACACTTATACTAATTATGTTTTAGAGCATTTTGCCTTCCTTAGAATGATTTATGGTAGCTACACGGATAAACTCTCTTTTGTCACCAGCGAAATAATGCGAGACTTCAGTTAATTCGTTCATGAACATTCGTATTAAAAGATACTTTTTTCATCTAGAAACTAAAGAGCGTTTCTCTTTTTCAGAGACCAGCATTGAGAAGGGACCTTAATTTTTTCTAACATTTCTTTATCTCACGGATAAAATAAGGTTCTTAGATGAAGCTGCCAGAATACCCGGTTGATGGTCACGTGTCCCAGTGAGCAGCGTCTTCCGGGGGGAGGAGTGGCATGCATGCCTTCTCCCGGAGACACCTGCCCACGTGCATTAGCTGCTCCTGAATAGAACTGGGTTTGCGAATCTTTGCAAGCCACTGCTTTCTTAACGAGGACTGGCTTTTAACTGGATAAAGAGCCGGATTGAAAGGATGTGCCCTCCCAGCCCAGTTCACCTGCGATTTTCATTATTTAGAAGTCCCTGGGTGGTCAGTTCAATTGTGGAGGAAGGTGGATAGTGAGTCCTTTTGTAAACTGTGCAAGCTCAGGTAGCTTCTGGTTGTGGTGTTCTCTAGCGTGTTCCTGTTGTTGAGCCTGGAGCTATTCAGGATGCCTTTCCAGCCCCTTTCAAGGGGAGGGGGCTGTGCTGTGTTCTGTACACAGCGTGTGGCGCTCTCTGAGGAGAGACCCCAGCTGCCCGAGAATGTACCGTGATCTGGTGAAGGCTGATGTCTGAAGTCCTTCTAGCAGAGCTCCCACTGAGGCCATCAGGGGCCTGGCGTACGGGCTTCTGCCTCTGGTGTGTGGCAGCAGATGGGGCATCCGGAGGAGAATGTCTCCGCCGGGGCGGGCTCCCTTTGCTCTGGCTGGTCTTGCCAGCTTGCACACCCCATCAGAACCCAAAGAGGCCCAGAATGCTTCATTTCAGTGACTTGGGAGAATTGAGGAGACATTTCTGGAAGCCCTATTTGCTTCCAGGATCTCTGAAGGAGGTCCATGCTGTGCTGTTCCCTGGTTTGTGGCCCAGGACCCACTGGAGACATGGAGAAGCGCTATCATGAGGGGCGTCTGAGCCAAGTGTTAACTCATTTGGAGTTCATATTCCTATGGAGTTGCAGACAGGAGTCCATCAAACCATTGCTGGCAGTTTCCACCTTTGAGTGAGAAGCTGGGCCGCTGTCAGCCTGTGTCCTCGCGATGGCTTTCCCACCACGTGTCCAGGACCTGCGCTGCCGCCTGCTCAGGTTCTTGCCCCACAGACTTGTTTTTTGGAATTTTTTTTGTGCCATGTCTCTTACATGGCTGTAGCTGTGACAGGAACTTTACGTTTGTGAAATTTGGAGCGACAGTTACTGTGATGGCGTGCATCAAGATAAGGAAAAGAAGGGCATCCCTGTGGGGATGGGGAGGGAAAGGGTAAAGGAGTGAGCTTATGCAAGAGAGCATGAAATTGGTTTTAATTTTGGCTTAATTTATTTTGGCTTTTTAACATCACTTAATGATAGCAATTAGTTTTCTGTGTTTTTAATTTATAAACTATATGAATTTATAACTATAAATAGTTTTTAGTTTCTCAGGTGATTACCTGAGGCAGAAAAATGTCCAATGTCTTTCCTCTAGGCCCAGTAATTCACGCTGGGTGAAGCCTAAAGTTGTCGTTACGCGCTCAGGGTCTTAGGTGTGTTCCCACATACCTTCCCACAGTCATTATCTGGCTCACGTCTGGCAGGGATTGGCAGCCTGCGTGGACTCTGCGAGTCCACCACGAAACAGGATTCCAGTTGTTCCTGAAGTGTGAGCCTGTGCCAAAGCCTTCCTGAACGCTTCCACATGAACACTGCAGTTCTAACCAAGTGCGACTAAGTATTGTAACCTGTGTTCAAGGACGCTTTGACTCTTGATTTTCTTTATTGCAGGAGTGCACTGGTTATATTTCCCATGTACTCAGGGGTTGAGATTTAGTAAAACTAATCATTTTTATTGCTTTATCAGGTCATTGTTAAGAGAAGCTGGCTTTGTTGTTTGTTTAAATTTACCAGAACGTGGAGGGGCAGGACACAAAGGCTCTAGCACTTCCTTGGCTGGTGCTGAGGACCAGCCTCCTCACCACCATGGCCTTTGTGTCACTAGTACAACCGGGGGAAACAGACAAATAAGTCTCAGTATTACTGTGAAAATCCCTTTACCCCAAAGACCCTGCGAGAAGGGCACCAAGGACCCCTAGGGATCAGTGAACCATACTTGGGGAGCCTCTGAGATAGCTCAAGGGCCTGAACCAGTTAAAGGGGACAAAATGGGACACTGAAAAGCTCCTACCCTCACCAGTGCAGGTACAGGTGGTTTCAGCACTTGGGATCGTGGCAAGCTCCTGGGACTGCTGTGCGTTGGTCTGTCACCCTCCCGACCTGGGCTCGGTGCACACTCTCAGGGGTCTGTCCCCATTAGCGCTCACCAAGGACCTTTGCTGTAATAGCGCCTAGACAATGTGTGTGATCATTTAATGCACAAAAGATGAGAAATCCCCTGCCCTCCCCCCATCCCACCCACCCCCACCTGACAGCCCCACAGACATCAGGATGAAGGACGCAGAGTCAGCCTCACCTGGTGGGACTCTGGACCAGAGAAAGAGTTGCATGGTTTAAACCTGTTTTTTCTCCTTTTTCTCTAGTGAAGAGGTCTGCAAGCGAGGATTCACAGTGATCGTGGACATGCGTGGGTCCAAATGGGACTCCATTAAGCCTCTGCTGAAGATATTGCAAGAGTCCTTTCCCTGCTGCATTCATGTTGCACTGATAATCAAGCCAGACAACTTTTGGCAGAAACAGAGGACTAATTTTGGCAGTTCTAAATTTGAATTTGAGGTAACTTCCACGTGTAGCCAGACCAGTTAAACCAATAGGCATGGTTTATTAAAACTTGACTTTTTCCTCATTTTAGATAATAGATTTTTAAAACCACATATTAAATGGGAACTGCACATCTTACATACATATGGCATGTAAAATTAGTTAATTCATAAAACAACAAAATTCGGTTCGGTTATCACATTACCCTACTGGATTATTTCACCCAAGGGCGATTTAGGTTTTAGTTCTCTTGGTTTTGGGTGGTGGGGCTGCTGAGGTATAAGGCGTGTACTATAGAAAGAGGTTCCCTCTTACTTCTCTTGATAAAACAGCTTCTCCTTTGAGTCCAGGCGGCTTTATGCGGCCTCAGATTCATCATTGCCTTAGCCTTGGGAATAAGGGAGTGTTAAGGAGAGATACCCAATTTCACGTGTCCAGAAGAAACTTGAGTTTTCACCTTGTCCTTGATAATGGAGGGAATGATCTGTCCTGTATTTCATGCATCAGTTCTCTCGTTTATGAAAAGGGAGGTACTCCTTTAAAAACTATTCAGAGTTCTGAATTCAACGGCGCATAAGGTCGCCAACTCTCAGACGGTGTGTGAGACAAGCCTCAACCTGCTAACTTCTTTTCCTTTCCACTGTCACCTCTCCTTCAGCTACCAAGGCTTTGCCCGGGCTTTGATGCAGTTAGTGTAAGGAGATGATTATGGGAAGAAAGTATTCCGGCCAGCTTGAAACTTGATTCATGCCGTAATATTCTGTAATAGAATGTTTTCCTACAAGATCTCATAATTTTTGGTTGAGTAGCTTGTGCTGCTTCTAGCAAGTTTGCCCAAACAGTAGGTTTCAGTGAATGTATTCATGTGTGTTAAGGTAAACAACAACAGTAGTATTATGCACATCGCACAAAATTAATTCTTAAGTTTTATGTTGCATGTTAACTTTTCTAAGTGTTTTCACATGTGCATTACTTGCATTTTTAAATCTCTTGCCGTGATTTTCAATCTGAAATCTGAATTTAGTTTAATTTGAATTTGAAACTGCATTCGAGAGATTTAGGTAAAAGATGAAACCAGTAAGCCTTTCTCTTCACACAGCTGAGAAGTGATTTTGGATGACAGTTTATTGGGTCTTACTGTTTTCTTGATGCCGAATTTAAAGTGTGTTGCTTTTAATTATACATGTTTTAAGCAGAAACAATGGTTTAGCAATATAATGCACACAAATGTTTGCTAGTCCAATTTTGATATCTTCCTCTGGGCCTTTAAAATTATCTATACCAGCTTTTCTATTGAACTTACTGTCTCTACATTGTTACCAGCGTCTCTCTCTGAAGTTAATAACATCTCCATGGATGTTATTAAAAGTCTGGACAGATGAGACAGGAATGAACCTACAGTCACATTGCAAACAAAAGTGCAAGACTAGGAGCAGCCCTCTTTCTAGCTCTGTTGCTTTTTGCAGGTTCTCGTGCCAGCCAGCGTGGAGCTGATGCAGTCCTAGGTTTCTCTAAGGCTGGAAGTGACAGAGGTGGGGCTAAACCAGCCTTTCTCTGTTTTATTTTTTGGTTCTTAGGCTACACATCTTTTTCCTTTAACTTTGTTTTTGCATTTAATGACCCCTCTCCCACCCCCCATGTTTTCCTTGAGGCACAATATTGATAATAACCCTGCAGCACATGGTATATATAGGTAGGGTGAGGTTAAGATTTTGGCTTAGATTGTAAAGGACTAAAACTTGGTCGCTGTTAGATTGGAATGTAGTGCAAATTGGAATGTACAACCCTTCTACTGCTCAGAATTGTGACAGATTGTTGAAATGAATGAAACATTCCCTCTGTCTTTAGCTTTATGGCAAGAGCTTCTGCCTCCCTGGCTGGCTAACCTTTGTATATTTTAGAAAGTTTCAGTAAGTCATTCATATCCTATCATCTGCTACCTGATGGGAGGTGGAGTTAGGACCAGATGAGCCTTGATCGTAGCCTGGTTGGAGCATGTTTATCACTGAATAAGTAGCTCACAAATATGTGTCCTCAGAGGGAGGTGGCACTTCACAGGGTTTTGGAAGCCCATGAGCAAGACATTTGCTTGATTGCCGAGAGCAGGAGGCCTCTACAGAGTTTTCTGTTGGGAGTGAGATGGTAGAGTGGTGCAGATGAGAAAGAATGCATTGATGAAAGTAAAATTTCCAAATCATCTGCTCTGTATTGCGATTTAAGACATTTCCTGGTTATCATGCCTAAGATAGCATCTCATTTCTATAGCTCTTATGAGATACATGTCCTATAATTTTAGGCATTCTAACTAGCGTGTTGTTCTAATGGACTTCTCTTTCACTGACTATACTGGTAATGTTTCTTTCATCTGCATTTGTTTTTATGGGGCCAGAACAAGGTATGTTTTCTGTAAAGAGATTATTTGCTTTATGTTTGAAAATCTGTAAGTATTGCACATTGCATTATGATAAGGCCACAGAAAATTGGTTCATCTTCTCATACGTGATTTTTTTTCCCCTTAAGACAAATATGGTCTCTTTAGAAGGCCTTACCAAAGTAGTTGATCCTTCTCAGCTAACTCCCGAGTTTGATGGCTGCTTGGAATACAACCATGAAGAATGGATTGAAATCAGAGTTGCTTTTGAAGACTACATTAGCAATGCAACCCACATGCTCTCTCGGCTGGAGGAACTTCAGGACATCCTAGCCAAGAAAGAATTGCCTCAGGATTTAGAGGGGGCTCGGAACATGATCGAGGAGCATTCCCAGCTGAAGAAGAAGGTGATTAAGGCCCCCATAGAAGACTTGGATTTGGAGGGACAGAAGCTGCTCCAGAGGATTCAGAGCAGTGACAGCTTTCCCAAAAAGAACTCCGGCTCAGGCAATGCGGACCTGCAGGGCCTCCTTCCCAAGGTGTCTGCCATGTTGGACAGGCTGCACTCCACACGGCAGCACCTGCACCAGATGTGGCATGTACGAAAACTGAAGCTGGACCAGTGCTTTCAGCTGAGGCTGTTCGAGCAGGACGCTGAGAAGGTAAAGGAGCAGGGGGAGGGCTTCCTGGACCGTTGGGGTCCCAGCAGCCAGGGGGCTGCGTTGGTTGGGAGAGAGGGCGGAGGACGAGTCAAGCACGCTCAGGGTTCACTGCGGCCATCTGCCCCCCCATCTGCCTTCCAGCTTTCCTCGTGGTGCAGGCCAGGGCTTTTTCAGGAGCTGTGAGTTCTTCATTACTGACAGTTCAGTCTAGCATGCCTATAGGATAGACGAGAAGGATATCTTGAGTTAAAAGGGTGACAGCTTTAGAGAATTTATATTACCGAAAGCAATAATTACGTAGGTAATTTTGCCCCTAGCTGCTCCGCACTCCTATATAAAGCCAGTGACAGAACTCCGTTCCGGTCTGTTATTGACCATGCTTTTAAAATAAAAGACCAATAAGGTGTTAAAAAGAATAGCTTCTGGGAAGTATGGGTGGTGATTACTTATGTCCTCATTTTATTCTCATGCTACAGACAAAACAGCTGGTCCAAGCGGATGCTCATGTTACCAGCTAACTCTCTTAGCAATGCGGAAACAGGACACTTTAATTTAGAGGACTGTTGCAAGCCATGAACACGGGTGAATCGATCACTCTTAATTTGAGCTCATTGAATTTTTTTCACAGACAGGAAAATATTTTCTAAAGTTAAAAAAAACTACATCACAAATCTTTGATACAAAAGGACCTTTCAAACAGTGACAGTCCACTACTGTTGTTTGGCAAGCTTTTAACCTGTCAGTGTCCTTATGTTTAAAGAAGTGCCTTGTCAAAGACACTGGAAAAATCTTCCTTTCAATTACTAGAAAAAACAGTTGACTGTCTCTGGGATTCTGGTTCAAGTCACGATACCAGTCCAAATAATGATAGTTATTTCCTTTTGCTTTCATGTTGTCCCTGGGAGCAATGTAATTGACATCCTTTCCCAGGTAGCATCTGTATTGAACCTTGAGAGAGATGTCATCATTAAATTTTTTCCCCAGTCTTTCCTATTTTTATGGTAAATTTTATTGTTTGCATTTGCACAGTTTTTAAAATACTGTTTGCACTAAAGCATATATGATCTTGTAGTCACCGGAATTGCTGTCAGTAATCTGTGAGCGTAAGCAAAGCCCGTCCAGATACCTGTAAGTCCCCGATTTCACCTAACATGTCTTTTCACTGAAGAACAGTGTGGCCAGTCAAGCAGTTCATTATAGCAGGGAGGCTGGGTTGAGAGTCAAAGATTAGTTTTAATTAGCCTGGGGGATTTGAATATCTCTCTTTGCCTCTCTGTTCCTTAATTCCTCATCAGTCGAAGGAACACATGAGATAAGACTTTCTTCTAGATGGTGCAAGTTCGGAACAGCTTACTTGGAAGTCAAGGATCTTTTGGACCCAAATGCCTGAGAGGTTGTCAGAGCAAAGACACTGCCCCTGATTGGCGTGGCCCTGCTCCTGAACCTTCGCCAGTCATCTCTCTTTCTGGGGTGATTTCAAGTTGTCTTTTTTCATTCTGGTAGATGTTTGACTGGATCACACACAACAAGGGCCTGTTTCTGAACAGCTACACTGAGATTGGGACCAGCCATCCTCATGCGATGGAGCTCCAGACACAGCACAACCACTTTGCCATGAACTGTATGGTAAGATGCCGTCTGAACAGATGTATCTTGTATGTGAGAGGATTCTAGCAGACGGGAGGGATTTACACAGATGGTGTCCCGTTTAATCTCTGCGAGCCTCAGTTTCCTAGTCTGTAAAGTGGGGATTATATCTGCCTTCCATGGAGTTCCATAATTTTATTTCTTCTGCACATGTAAAACACTAAGATAGTGCTGAATGCATAGTAAGTACTTGATAAATGGTAATTATTAACAGTCATGTTATCACCAATTAAAAACATTAGTAAAATAAAAGTATGGGTGATGTCCTTTTTTTTTTTTTTAGGTTTAAGTCTGTTTTCTGGTTCTTTACAATAAACTTCTATTACTTTTCTAAGTTAAAGTTTTTTTTTTTTTAAAGATTTTGTATATCTATTTGAGAGAGACAGAGATAGTGAGAGAGAGCATGAGTGGGGGGAGAGGGAGAAACAGGCTCCCCCGCCAAGCAGGGAGACCAACATGGGGCTTCATCCCAGGATCCTGGGATCATGACCTGAGCTGAAGGCAGAAGGCGGACACTCAACCGACTGAGCCACCCAGGCGCCCCTCTAAGTTAAAGTTTTAATTGGAAGAGCGGGGTAACCCTGTGCCATGGTTGGTGGCAGCTCCCGGGGGAGCTTCCAGGCCTGTCTGGCCCCTTGTCCACTACCCCTCCATGAGTGCTTGGTACCCAGCTAGGACATTTCTTTATGCAGAGCAAGGGCCTGTTAACTTTCAGCCCTTTCTTGTGCTTCCTACAGTGTTTTAAACATTTTTTGACAAAATGAAAATGCTAAATATCAATATACAGAGTTGACAGTCTCTAAAGCATGTTAAGGGATGCCAACAATTCTGCTCATTGCACTATCACAGATACTTTTAAAAGCTGTGATGAGGGCGCCTGGGTGGCTCAGTCGGTTAAGCATCTGCCTTCGGCTCAGGTCATGATCCCAGGGTGCTGGGATCGAGCCCCACATCGGGCTCCCTGCTCAGCGGGGAGCCTGCTTCTTCCTCTGCCCCTCACCCTGCTC